CTTTTTAAAAATGACTGGCTTCAGCAGCAGCCAGACGGACGGGGGAAAAAACCCAAGAACAACAACAACAAAAATTAAACCACCAACTCAGGTTTTTGATTAATCCTTCCCCAGTCCTTTGGCACAGCAGAATCAATTCATCAGTTCAGCGAACGAAAAAAGAGAGAGAGAGAGAGAGAGAGAGATAATTCACTGAATCAGATTCTAGAGAGGGAACCAGCTATTAGTTTATCTAGCATATCTCCTTGCCACTGCAGGATTGTTCCCTATTGCACACTCACTCCTTAGCCTAATTTACAACGTGACAAGGAACTACCGTAAGTTTTACATAAGAACATAAGAACGGCCGTACTCGGTCAGACCAAAGGTCCTTCTAGCCCAGTATCCTGTCTGCTGACAGTGGCCAGCACCAGGTGCCCCAGAGAGGGTGGACCGAAGACAATGATCAAGCGATTTGTCTCCTGCCATCTCTCTCCAGCCTCTGACAAACAGAGGCCAAGGACACCATTTTATCCCCTGGCTAATAGCCTTTTATGGACCTAACCTCCATGAAATTATCTAGCTTCTCTTTAAACTCTATTATAGTCCTAGCCTTCACAGCCTCCTCTGGCAAGGAGTTCCACAGGTTGACTACACGCTGTGTGAAGAAGAACTTTCTTTTATTAGTTTTAAACCTGCTACCCATTCATTTCATTTGGTGACCTCTAGTTCTTCTATTATGGGAACTAATAAATAACGTTTCTTTATCGGCCCTCTCCACACCACTCATGATTTTATAGACCTCTATCATATTCCCCCTCAGTCTTCTCTTTTCTAAACTGAAAAGTCCCAGTCGCTTTAACCTCTCCTCATATGGGGCCCGTTCCAAACCCCTAATCATTTTAGGGGTTTTGTATCACATCTCATATGGGACCCATTCGAAACCCCTAATCATGTTAGGGGTTTCGTATCACCTCTTGATAATCTACCACACAAAAGATCTGACTGTCATAAAGCATTTCCCAGTAACATTTTTTCCTCTGCATTTAATCCTTCCGCTCCCAGTTAGACAGTCAGACCTCCATTTATGCTAAAAACAATTCCATCTTCAAGTACTTGTTGTTTCATGCCTCCATCCCACCAATAGTCATCACTTAGCCTAGTTATGCAAAATGTACTCCTACATCTTTCCTCATCAATCAATTCCTCTAGCCACCTAAAAAAACACAAAGTATTAAAGATCTTTTTAGTTTGTTAATGTCTTTCGGGTCAACATGATGCCCGAAACCACACCTAATATTCCAGGTATAACTACACCTGAGAGAAGCCATCACCTCTCCATCTTATGACATGGCATCTGGGCATTCAGAACCCATAACTACACTTGTCATTTCTGCTGCCATCTCCCATTGAAGAATTCCAGGAATGGGCTGCTCACTTTTAGCTTTATTGCTTCCCAGGATTCTTCCTTCTACTGCATAGTTTTGTTTGAATTATTCCCCTCTCCCATCAAATGCATTAGCCTGCAGTTTTGTGAATCATATTTCATTTTGGTGCTTAATTCCCATGTTTCTGTTCTTTTTAAGGGATGTGAAAATAACATTAAAGGGTGAAAAATATTGTAATATAAGCAGTCACAAGACACAATAGTAGCCAGTACTGACCAGGACAAATCATATTTGGCATACAGTTTTCACTCTAGAGTTTAATCACAATAAGCTAAAACAATACCATACCCAATGTATCCTGATCCAAATTAGGGATATTAAGGACTAGTAGACTATTTGCTCCCCCCCTCCCCCCCCGCACTTTACTGCCTCTATCAAACAGAGGCAGCAAGTGGGGGGAGGGGGGTAAGACTACAGAGGCAGCAAGTGGGGGGAGGGGAGTAAGATTTCAAAGAAGCAGCGTCCTACGGAGCCCAGGGTCAGCTGCTCCATACAGCGCTGCTGCTTTGAATGCCACAGGTGGCATTTCAAAGTGGCAGCGCCATGTGGAGTCTGGGATCAGTTGGGGACTCCCCAGCTGACCCCTGGCTCTGTGTGGCGCTGCCGCTTTGAAACGCTGCAGCGGCATTTCAAAGGGGCAGCACTGCCCTATCAACTAATCGAATAGTCCATGCAAAAATGTGTTGACTATTCGATTAGTCAATTACACGATACTTAGCATCCTTAGTCCAAATGGACCAATGAGTGGTGGTTAGTATTATGGTATTATTATTTTTGACAAACAGAATCAAACACAATAATGTTTCATAAAAGGCCCCTTAGTATTTCTCTCCTTACTGGTGTTTGCAACTCTTCCCAATTTAGTGCCACCAAAGGAGTTTCATATGGTATTTGTTTCTTGTTCTACATGCACTAACTCTCCACAATGGGAGACTGGAGAGATGGTGATGGGAGAATTCAGAGCCTTTCTTCAGTGTATCAGTTTAAATTTGTCTCTTCATATTCCACTCTCAAGAACAGAGTAGCGGAAAGGTCAGAAGGATCCATTGGAACATCATTTACACTGACAGAAGACCCTGACTAACAATTCAACCATAGCAATCCAGTCTCAGAACACTGCTTAGTGGTTAATGAGCAGCTAGGAAAAGGACATTTAAGTCCCTAAAAATGATCTGGCTACAAATTATTATTTTAATCCTGGGACCATCCTTCAGTGTGTGTATATTGCTGCTGCCTTGTAGCCAGGTAAAATGTTACTGTTCATGTGCTAAATATAAAACCTTAATCTGGGGTTGCTGTCACCTGGAGAAGCTCTGATCTGGACTTAAGACCTATGCGTTTAATGAAAGACTGTTCAACTCTCAGCCAATGATGAAAACTGGCCTACTCCCTCATCAGCATTTCCAAATTGCAGAAGAAATGCCCAAATTACCCACCCAGATCTAAGTAAGATCAACCACTCTGTGCCAGATCTATGCTCCAGATAGGTTGGTATCCTGTTTTCTGACAGTGACCAATTCCAGGTGCTTCAGAAGGAATGAAAAACAGGCAATCATTGAATAATCCGTCCCTTGTAGCCCACTTCCAGCGTCTGGCAATCAGAGGCCGGGGTTGCATATGTGACCATCTTGGCTAATGGCCCATTTATGAACCTGTCTCTTCCATGATCTTGTCTAATTTTTTTTAATGCTGCTATAGTTTTGGCCTTCACAACATCTCCTGGCAACGAGTTCCACAGATTGACTGAGTGTTGTGTGAAGAGTTTTCACAACATCCTCTCCTTGAGTCTGCTCACTCATTTGCATGCCAAGCTGCGCATCAGTAAAAAGGCAACTGGTTACAAAAAGAAACAGACAGCAAAAGCTTTGGGAGCCAAGGTCACCATAGCAACAGTCAGAAAGCTACAGGATGTTGCTTATAGACTAACTTCCTCTGCCCAGTACAGCTACAAATCATATTTTCTATGCCTAATACTGTCAGGGTTAGGCCAAGCACACATGCTGTCGCTTTCTCAAACATTTTCCAAAAGTGTGTTTGTGCGCCTCTCCTTCTTAGATCACTGCAAGCTTTATATGGGATCAGGCTGTGCTCTGTACTCACAACTCTCACCTGGGCAGCTTGTTCTTTCTTCCTACGTTCTTCTTCCAGCAAGCGGCGTTGCTTCTTAGTGAGGACCTCAATGAAGCCTTCTCCTGCCAGCGAGCCCACTTCATTCTCCTCAGTTGTGCTTGAAACCCGATTGTCAATGATGGCATCTGAACAAGATTTACCATTTAAAAATGGTTTAAAATGTATTCCAAATGGGATCTAAGCTAAGGAGTGAAACAGCTTAGCCAATTTTCACTTTGGAAAGTAAGCAGAGTGGTTTAAAATGTATTCCAAATGGGATCTAAGCTAAGGAGTGAAACAGCTTAGCCAACGGCAACTTTAGTTTACTTTAGAAAGTAAGTAGAAACCTACCAGCAGGGTTCCTCTGAAATGCCTTGCATCGTTACTCTCCAACAGAATTACACTATCCCTGACCTAGAGAAACCCAGCCTGGGGCTAGCAGCCGAAAACTGGGCTTTTCATATGACAACAAGGGCATTAACTGTAGACAATAACCCAAAAAAGGCCTTCTAACGTTGAATTACAAAGCACTGGGTAACATTTTCAAAAGAACCCAAGAGTTAGGAGCCTAAGTCCTATTTTCAAAAGTGACTCAAGTGCTTTCACCCATAGTCTATACATTGATTAACTGATTAACCTTTACAACCCACCCCTGAAGGACTATTAACCCTGAGGTTAAGTGACTTGCTTAAGGCCTCAGAGAGACAGTATTAGAACTAGGGTTGGAGCTCAACTGACTTTTAGTCCTGAGCTTAGATCGCACTTCTCTGCATTAGATGGCTATGGTTTCTCAACGTCTCTCCAACCAACCAGCTTATTTTTTACTCTTGACATGAAATAGACTGTAACTCTGTGTAGAGAGACACATTTCTATAAGCACTCCCCTAACTCTTTCCATAGAATAAATGTTAAAAGGACACCAACACGTGGCTCAAAACTAGGTTTTAATGAAAAAAAATCAAAGCTTCTGCAAATACTTCCAACAGAAATGTGATAATAATTTTGGGGGCACTTCCACTGGAAATCAGTTGTTATAAATAAATGGGAGAAAAAAGAATAAATCTGGCATTTAAATTGACTTAATGTGATATTGTGTGTGTTACCAGAAAGAGAAAGAAGACATTCTAATACAATGTTTAACTGGATAGTGTCCCTCCTAAGGAAACAAATGAAATGAGACACTTACTTCCATAATTCAACTCAAACTGTGACATGGTCTCGCCCTTGTCGCTTGATCTCTGGGCTGTAGATTTAGGCTCTTTTTCCTGCTTTTTACCTGGCCCCTCAGCATTGTCGGAGCTGGTGCGCGATGATCTCTCTAGGCTGTAAACAGAGTGGCTACTCCCACCTTTGGTGTTACCCAGACCCCCACCTTCTTCTGGAGACCTGTGAGAAAAGGAGAGAAAAGGGTTAGGCTCAATAAGGACACGGGGGAGGGAAACACGAATGGGTTAGCTTCTCATAGCTACATTTTTAAACAAGCTGGGCAATCTGCACTTTGCCCCCCCACTCTCAACTGATACAGATGCAAATTCAAAGCAAAAGCCTGATTATGAGGACACTGCTGTGGGAAATGGGATGGAAAAAACCAACATCTGCAGTGAAGTGACAAAAGTACTCTCCTTCACACATGGTTTGTACTCTTAAGCTTGCCTCTCAGGAAGATTTACAGGCCTCTCTCTCTGCTCGCATTCCTAATGTCTACTACCTTTGTATAAAAGCTGTAAAGTTTCCTTGAATCCTCATTACAATAAATGTATATTTCCCAGCAGGGTCAGATTGAGGGCTGAGAGGGGAAGGGAGGTAGGAAAGAAAAACACCAGAGGCCCCCTCCCCCCAAAAGCCTCTTCCCAGATTACTTTTCTGGGCAATTCTTTGCATCTCTAACCATCATGGCGCTCCCTAGAGCAGAACTGACAAGGAGCACTGGGGAGCTTAAGAGAAGAGGTGCAGGGGATTGCATGCACAATGGGAACAAATCTGGCTTAAAAAGAAGCAATATTAAGCAATACATTTGCTTCCCCCTTTCGCTTGATTCTGTTTTCACCCAGGTTCCCACCACACACCCTCTTATGTGCCTTTTGTTGAATTTTTCCATAAACCATTGTGCAGTTATTGAGGAGCAACTTGCTGCTAATTAACTGGGGAAGAAAACCACCAGGTAGTGTCATCAAAGCACACATTGTCTATTTCAGGGAGGTCTCAAAATGAAGGTCGGGCTCCCAAAGGGGGCCACAACCCCATTTTAATGGGCTCACCACAGCTGGTGTTAGACTCACTGGGGTTGATGCTAAAGCCCCTTGTGGCGGGACTCAGGTTTTGGCTTTGGCTCTTTTGCCCAGACAGGTAAAGTTCAAGCTTTGGCTTTGGTTCCCCCACCCAGAGTGGTAGGGCTTGGCTGGGTTCAGGCTTCGGTTCCCCGCTCCAGGGGTCACGTGGTAATTTTAATTGTCAGAATAGGGTCATGGTTTGAGAACCGCTGGTCTACTTCAAAGCTTTAATAGCTCTACTAAGAGTTCAAGCTTCAAGAGGCCTGTACCTCCAAAAGCTATTGCTAAGAAAAACAGATCACATAGGAAATGGCAGTCTGGATCAGACTGCAGGTCAATCTGGTCCATGTGTGGAATAATTTTAGGTGCACCAAGGCATGGGCATGTGCACTACCATTTCGAAGAAATTAAAACCTAGCTGTGGGTGCTCTGCTGATCAGCTGCACAGCATCTGAATCACTCCTGACAGGGTGCACAAGTGCTCAGCTTATATGGAACGCTGATGGCCACCACTAGATGTTTGAGAAGAAGGTGCAAGAAACCTCCTAATCCCCAGTAGAGTTTGATTTTAAGCCCAAATAAGTATTCACAGGAGTATTCTTACCAGCAGGCCCATAACATGCAGCACTCGTTTCTGTGAAAGGAGCGCTGCCTATCCCCTATCGCCAAGCAGCAACAAGGGTTTTGAAAGTACGGCTAGACCTGGGAACTCACCACCCTGCACAAACCACAGCCACTGCTGTGGACCTAGAAAAGCTTTGAAGTAGAGAAATCGACTGAAATAAATGACATTTAAACTCTGCAATCCAATCAGGTCATTACTGAGAAAACAAGTCTTCCAAACTTTCCACCACCGCCAGGCCGTACCCCAGCTGGAATTCACCAGCGGAGGATTGGAGAGTTTGGAGTCGATGACAAAGATGTCTCAGCCCTCTTAGCACTTGAATTGATGGGGGTGCACAAGCCTGATCTGCTGTTGCACCATAGGATTTACACAGGTTAAAGAAGGCTGGCAGCTCCAGTCATGACCAACCACTTTTCTGAAACCAAGACAAGCCTGAGCTCCCCCCACAGGTAGAGTTCTAGCCTAGGCATCAGAGCTACAGCAAGCTCAAAGGTATTTACATCTAAGTGGTGCTACAAGTCATGTGTGTGATGAAAGGAAGCACAGCCAACATCTCTGCATGAGTCAACCCCTTCTTGCTTGCAAGTCGTTTGCTACCAGGATACATGCACACGTGGTGACACAGGGCACACGTGGTATGTCAGACTTTGAGTTTACCTTTTGCTTTTCATTGGCATTCCATTCTGCTGGCTCTCGTACCGGGAAGCAGCTCCTCCACTGGCTCTTACCAAATGCTCCCCAAACCCTGCTGGTTCTGCCTTGCGGCTCTGCCTGTCCACAAGGGGCCTCTGGCTCGAGAAACTCCTCTTTGCCAGCTCTCTCTTCTCTCCCAAGCTGGCACCGGCAAGGCTGCTGTCCAGCGGCACTTCGCTCTCCAAGACTCCGTCGTGCCTCTCCCGCCGCTCACTGAAGTCGCTGCTTTCGGATGCGGTCTCCCACTCCTCATTGGCATGGTCTGACGAGTTCTGATAGGACAGCTCAGGAGACCTCCTGCTAGAGACATTCTTCTCCACCGTGGTCAGCTTGGGTCTCCCCGGCCATTGGCTGGGCAACAGGCTAGCTCCACCTTCCTCAGGGTTCCACTGGCCCACAGATTCTCTCTCTTGTCTCAGGCGCCTGAATCGGGGGGGCTTGTCTTGACGAGGGGGACGCCGCCTCCTGAATGGCCTGTTTTCTATGTTCTCTTGGTCTGCAGCGTAATCCTCCTGGAACAAGTGCCTTCTGTTGTCAATGTGATTCTCCTCAAAACCCCTGCCAGTGAAGGAGTCTGTGTGCTTGTAAGAATCTTGGATATAATCCTTGTCAGACTGTCGCCTGATCCCAAACGTGTCCGGCAGCGGGCAGTGGGTGTACTCCTGCCACATGGTTCCCCCACTTCTGCCCTGCCACTGGGAAGGCTCCTTTGCCACAAAGCCTCTTCGCCCATACCCAGAGTTGCTCAGTCGTGGGGGCAGCGACCTCCCAAAGGCTCTTGGGCCCCTTACCTTGGCATCAAGGCTGCTGTGATCATCAGAGTAGATTTTATTGGACCTCCAAGAATCTCTGAAGTCTCCCTTCTTCGGGTCACTCTCCTCCCTCTCCAGGAGGGAGCTTTCATTACTGTTTTCAGAACCCCTCTGCCGGCGTCGCTTGGGAAGCTCCTCATATTCAGACCCCTCACTATGTGTCTCACTGGCAATCCGGCGTCTGGGCTTGCCCCTTGAGAAGTCTTCCAGCTGACTGAACTCTCGGAGACCACGTCCTCTGCTGCTTCTTTGGTTGTTATAAACCCCCCTGCCACCAACAGCAGTGCCACGGCCTCTGAAAGTGAACTCTCTGAAGCCTCTGCCTCTTCCTCGGCCTCTCCCACCAAAGGCTTGTTCCTCATCAATAAAGATCCAGTTGTTTCTTTTTGTGGGAGGGAGGTCATTAGACTCTCTGGGTGGCTTATTCTCCCATGCTCTCTCAGCCTTCTCCTCCTCTTCCTCCTCCTCCTCCTCCTCCTCTTCCTCCTGAGATTTCTCAGTATCTTGGGTGAAGCTGACTTGGGAAGAACCCTTTTCATCCAGCAGGTAATGAGTGGAGTTCAGTAAGGCTGATGAATCTTCTGAATCATTGTCCAACTTATATACAGGTGTCTTCTCTTTTGCTGGGTGTGAGATCTCTTCTCCTTCCAGTTTAATCTTTTCCTGCTCTTTCTCCTTTTCCTCAACCTTGAGGGCTTTCAGAACTGGTTTTTTAATTGGGCCAGATCTCCGTGTCCTCCCCATTTGCTCCTGCTGCTGATTATTGGTGTTTCTGTTCTCGGGGACCCAATCTGTCTCTTCAGCAGGCTGTTTAGTGGCAGAGCCTTCTTTCTTCCATGGGTCAGCACTGAACGACTGCTCACCCCTAGGCACTTCTTCATCCGCCTCTGCTGCAGCCTCTGAGTTTTTCTGATGGTGGTTGATGTCCCAGCCATTGTACTCAGATTTTTTATCAGATTGTATCAAGTCAGACTCTAAGGGAGAACACCGTAAGCTTGCATGGCGAGCACCAGAAACGCATGCCTCCTGCACGGACTCCTGGTGCTGAAACAAAAGATCCTGGCCTATTCTTTGAGAAGATATACTGCTGTCAAAGTCAGCTTGGGCTTTCTTGTCAAAAGTGTTTAAGTACTCATCCCCTCTCTCCTCAAAGAGATCGCGCTGGGCATTTATGCCCTCTGACCTTCCCGATGAGGCAGAGTAAGAGCTGTCACTCCTAAACTTCCTCCAGAACCAAGTCAGTCAGTCAGTCAGTCTATGTGATTAAACCACAGCTCCAGGTGCCCAGGCCACACACAGCATGCATGCATAAACAAATAAAACAAACAAACAAACGTTGTCATCTACTATCAATCATGACTCAATTAGCCTATAAAATATTTGAGGGCTTGATTTATTGATCTGCCATGGCCCCAGTCTATAATACCCAGTCAGGCAGAGCCGATGAACAAAAATAAATGGTTTCTGAACAGAAAATAAAAATAAGAGAGTCAGGCACTGAATGTGGATTCAGCCTCTGATCACTGTAGTGATTTCAAAATTAGCAGTCTGATTCAGAGTCCTCAGAGCAGTAAGGACGACTGATTAAAAATGAAATAAAATAAAAAGAGAGAAACACCCATGAGTTAACCACAATTTTTGACAGCTGTCTACATGAATAAAAACTGCCTCTCCCCACAAGGGAGCACCTGCAAAGCTGCATAGCAGAGAAGTAAGATTCCCAAAGAGAAAGAGTTAGACTCTCTCTAGTTTTTTAAACGTATAAAGCTTTGAGTGCTCAAATTGAATGTAATGTTCTTATATGCAAGAACTCAGTGGCATTTTAGTCTGTCACTACACACTACAAGCACTCCTGGGAACACAGGTGACCAAAAATATCTTCTTCTGTTCTTTGAAGAAGTCTTATGGGTATACCCCAAGTCCACTCCTTCAAGCAAAGAGAAGCTCCCAGTACAGTATGCATGGCAAGATGGTATGGTTTTGCCCTCACCTGGTATGCAGTCCCTCCATCGTCATGTTCTCAGTCTGTTTTTGATGTGGCAGTGGGTACCCTTTGCTCTGCAGAGATGCATAGCTTTCCTGTCCCCACACTGGGGCAGGGTCCATAGAGGCAGCTTTCCTTTCTGGTTGCACTGATGGCTGACAGTTCTGCTCTTCAGACCTACAGCCGTTCCCATTGATGGAGTCCCGCTGAATCATGGGCTTCATAATTCCTAACGAGAAGAGAAAATTCAAGCTGCAATGCTACAGATTCACAGCCAAGCAGCAATTTACAACCGTAGGACAAGTCATCTCTCCCTACCTCCAGGATGGTGGAAGAATGCACCCTTGGAAACCTTCTTTTAAAAAGGAAATTAAAGACCAGGAGATATATAAAAAGGAAAGCGACCGCCGCAAAATGAAAGTGAAGCAGAATCCTCAGGGCTACTATTTAGGGCAGCTTTCACAGCCAAACCTAAGCATAGTAATACAGAACTTCACTGGCTTGGGAGCAAAGAGCATAGAGTGGGGATAAGAAATGCACAATAACCACAAACATAAGGCACTGGTTTACTCATCCTGCTGTTTACATGGCCATCTCTGGCAGATTAATAGCAGGATTAACAAATACTAGGGGCATATAACCTGGGGCAGGACTTTTTGGCTTGTCCTGCCTTTCTTTAGGAAAACTAAAAAGGTCTTGTGAGAATAAAACCATCTCCAGTCCACTCCTTCCTTTAATTCTCCACCACACCATGACCTCTCTCTCCCCCTTCCAGTGGGGAACAGGTGGAGTATCTTCCTGCTATGAAATGAGAACCCTCAGGCAGCACATGACTAGATGCATGGGTATTCTTAAGCATTCCCAATCCCACCCTAACTTTTAGTGATGCCTGTTCATCAGCCTCTACCACCCTTTAGACTTTTCCCAATCCCTGGAGAGAGTCATCACAGAGAGCAAGAATGAGAAGTCTGAGCCAAGGTAAGGCTGGTAATGAAGAAGGCAAAGCAAGCTGGGATAGATTCTCCTTCCAAGGGTCCTACCCTGCATCCCAATAGCCAAAACCCCACCCTCTTGTCTGGCATACCACTCGTTGGTGGCCTGAATCCTTAGGAAAGTGACTAGTGCATTATACACCTAAGGACTTGTCAGAACCCAAAAGAATGTAGCTTGCTCTTCGCGATTAATTTTTTCACAGAGTTCATAGAATACTAGAACTGAAAGGGACCTTGAAAGATCATTAAATCCAGTCCTCTGCCTTCATGGCAGGACCAAGCGCCATTAAGATCATCCCTGACAGATGTCTATTCAACCTGCTCTTAAATATCTCCAGAGATGGAGATTCCACAACCTCCCTAGACAATTTATTCCAGTGTTAAACCACCCTGACAGTTAGGAAGTTTTTCTTAATGTCCAACCTAAATCTCCCTTGCTGCAGTTTAAGCCCATTGCTTCTTGTCCTTTCAGGTTATTGAAGGTAAAGGGCGCATCAACTCTCACTCTCGTGAATCCAAGTTCCAGGAAAAGAGCTACAGATACAGTCCAGAAACTGAGTCAGGATAGCATCAGAGAGTACGAAAGCACCAAACCCCCACTCTACCTGAAGGATGAAGGGACGAAGGGTAAAAATCGACTGGGGTGCGGCTCTGAGCCATACGAGGATCCATGTAGGATGGCATCATCATCCAGCGAGGATCAAAGCCAAGCATCTGAGGGTGTGGCGGGTAGAACGTACGCTGAGGGTGGGAATGGGATGGTGGAGGATAAACCTGCTGTTGCTGCCAGTGCTGCATCTTGTACAGCTGCTCCTGGATAGGCAGAACAATGACACAGGTTAACATAGACCTTGAGCATCTGAATAAAACACAACATAAGTCATTAATATATTTTCTTTGCTCTAGGCCAGCTTGCATACAAGCTTGCATTATAAACTCCAAAGAATCGAAGAACGTGGCATCCTTTTCCCTTGGGTAGGAGATATGGACAGCACACTACCAGATTTGATAAGGAACAGCCTGTGCTTCTTTAGATGTATATACATTAGCTGCCATTGAATTGCTCTCTTCTTCTCACACGTACTCCTGGTGCTGCAAGATCACAGCGTTACATTTCATTCTCCCAACACATCTCAAACTCAGGAGATTTTTTAAACTGAATTTTCCTGTCAAACATAATTTATTAATCTGGTTCAAATATTGAAAATGCTGTTTCTCACTGGATGAAATATGATCATTTGATATTTAGTGCACATAGATACTAATACTAAAGCTTATTAACCAGCGAGATTACATTACAAAGGAAGCTCAGTTAAAAAGCTATTAAAATCTTATACAATTTCCTATGTATTATTCTGAGAAATTAAGCAACCATGAGGCCATACCATTCCATTATTCTGAAAGGGCAGGATACAATCCACAATAAAGGAATATGACAGGTCTTTATCTGATTTGACATCTGCCAGAAGTCCAGGTAGAAACTACACACACAAGGAATTTTATATTCTGGAAAAAAGCCTTCAAAATGTTACAAAACCAAAACAATTAAAACAAGATTTCTACTAAGTGGTCAAGCTTGACTCAAATTTTTTTAGACTTCATGGGAGAAGACCAGGTTTCAGAGTCCATGACGTGTTTTGCATGGCCATGAATTTGGTAGGGCCCTATCAATCGATTGCATTATGCAGGATTTATGGGGATAAAATGGTGTCCTTGGCCTCTGTTTGTCAGAGGCTGGAGAGGGATGGCAGGAGACAAATCGCTTGATCATTGTCTTTGGTCCACCCTCTCTGGGGCACCTGGTGTTGGCCACTGTCGGTAGACAGGATACTGGGCTAGATGGACCTTTGGTCTGACCCAATACGGCCGTTCTTATGTTATGTTCTTATGATGTCAGACTAGAACTAGATGATCACAATGGTCCCTTCCAGCCTTATAATCTCGGACACTATGAACAAGGGCATGAAAGGTGTGCGCAGTCTCCACAGGAACAGATCTGTAGGGCATTCTTGTGTCTGAGCATATTGAAGAGCAAACCTAGGAGGAAGATTCCTGTTTTCCCCCCTCTAGACCTCTCTAGCACAAAGTCTGGTTACTAGATGCTGAGCGTAAGATTTGGCCACGAATAAACAGTATTTGATGAGGGTGTGCAGTGAAGAGAGAAAGTGTGCCAGGAAGGGAGGGGGGGAGCTGTCAGGCCTCATACCTGCTGCTGTTGCTGCCTCTGAAATCTTGGAGGAAGTGATTTCTGATATTTGTTGAACTCCTGTGCTGGGGATGTGGCTTCTCTAAGCTCCTCCTCACTGCTGTTTTGGGCAGCTACTGCTGTGGCTGTGGTTTCCTCTTCTAGGTAACCAGCAGAGACATCCTGTGCATGAAATTCAGAAGTAGCTGGTGGAGGAGGGAGGGCAAAAAGAAGGCTAGATTAAATTCTGCACCAGACAAGCTTAGTGCATGTTATAAAGCAGCTAGCTTGAGTTACTTGCAAGAACATTGCACATATGATCTGTGAGCACCTTGTGATCGTATTTCCCAGATGAACTCCCCACTCTACTCTCACTATTATGCTCCGCTCTGTATAGTATTTCAGCTACTATCTTTCTTAGAGAGCCCTACAGATCATTCCACTTTCTTTTCTTTGCCCACACCGCTCTCCTACTGAGACTTCAATGCTACCAGCATCCTTCTGACTAAGGAGAAATGAATAGCCCATTTTGAGCCCCATGTCACTCCCCACAGTGGCCAGGACGCACAGGACACTACCACTAGTCATTCAGTTGCCTTTCCATTCAAACTAAATGAGAAGCCAAAGCTGGTACTGGGAGTCAAGATGCCCTCCTCAGTGCATGAGATTTTATGCAGGAGGTTATAATCCCATCATCGTTATTTAGATTACACTAGCAACCAGAGGCCCCATTCACAAAAGGGCCCCACTGCACACTTACATAGCAAGTGACAAACACTGCCCCAAAGATCATATAGACTGAGACCCCCAATCCTGCAAACCCATTGAAATCAATGACCCTACTCAAGTTACTGATGCATATAAGTGATTTCAGGACTGGATCCTAAATAAACACAAGGCATTACTTTTATTGTGGAACTGCCATGAAAAGGAACAAGACTAAGATCCAACACTTAAGACAAACAAAAAATAAAAAAAAGTTTGCTAGCCAAGCTAGGATTGCTGCATTACTGCTGTGGCTCAAGTACACAGCCACGCACCATTCCTTGTCAAGTGCTAAAGCAGCACAGTCCCCCTGCTTTTCATGTGTATTTAAGGACCTACTGGTTATATCAAATCTCATCTTAAATTAGTTTCTTTCAAATTAAGTTCTGAAAAATGACACAATCCTACGGTTGGAAGACACCTCAGGAGGTCATTGAGTCCAGCCTCCTGCCCAAAGCAGGACCAATCCCAACTAAATCACCCCAGCCAGGGCTTTGTCAAGCCGGGACTTACCAACCTGTAGGAATGGATATTCCACCACCTCCCTAGGGAACCCATCCACCCTCCTAGTGAAATAGTTTTTCCTAATATCCAACCTGGACCTCTCCCACCATAACTTGAGACCATTGCTCCTTGTTCTACCATCTGTCACTACTGAGAACAGCCTCTCTCCATCTTCTTTAGAACCTCCTCTTTAGGTAGCTAAAAGATGCTATCAAATCCCCCCGCACTCTTCTCTTCTGTAGACTAAATAAACCCAAATCATTCAGTCTCTCCTCGTAAGTCAAGTGCTCCAGCCCCATAATCATTTTTGTTGCCCTCCGGTGGATTTTCTCTAATGCGTCCACATCCTTACCGTAATGGGGGGCTCAAAACTGGACACAATACTCCAGATGTGGCCTCACCAGTGCTGAATAAAGGAGAATAATCACTTCTCCAGATCTGCTGGCAATGCTCCTCTTAATGCACCATAATATGCCATTAGCCTTCTTGGCTACAAGGGCACACTGTTGACTCATATCCAGCTTCTCATCCACTGTAACCCCCAGGTCCTTTTCTGCCAAACTGCTGCTTAGCCAACCAGTCCCCAGCCTGTAACAGTGCTTGGGATTTTTTTGTTCCAAGGGCTGGACTCTGCAGGACTGGACTCCGCACTTGTCTTTGTTGAACCTCATCAGATTTCTTTTGGCCCAATCCTCCAATTTGTTGAGGTCACTCTGGACCCTATTCCTACCCTCCAGCATATCTATCCCAGTTTAGTGTCATCCGTGAACTTGCTCAGGGTGCAATCCATCCCCTCCTCCAGGTCATTAATAAAGATGTTGGACAAGACCTGCCCTAGAACTGACCCTTGCAGCCCTCCACTTGACACCAACAGCCAACCAGACATCGAGCCACTGATCACTACTCATTGAGCACAACAATCTAGCCAACTTTCTATTCACTTTGCAGTCCATTTATCCAATCCATACTTCCTTAACTTGCTTGCAAGAATGCCATGGGAAGACAGTATCAAAAGCTTTGCTAAAGTCAATCAAAGCCTATCATCCCAATTGAAACAGTTTTTCTAAAACTTTCCAGCAGTATTTGCACCCTAAATATTGCAGTGTTCTATTAAAGCATGAAAGCCTGAAGGCAAAATTGCTTAGGAATTAATTGTATAAACAAAAACAGAATCTGAGGCTCTTTTTTCATCTAAACTGAGACACCAGTAAAAAGAGGGCACAATAAAAAGCAAAACAAACTATATAAATTCTGTCTACTCTAATCAGTACGGTGTTGTTCATAACTTGGATAAAGATAATTGGGGTGGTACGATATTTTTGTCCTTCCAATACTCTTTTTAATGAGACAGTGTCCCTTTAAGGGAGACTCTACATTATTGACCCAAAATAAATGTTCTTTAGGAAACTAGAAAAAATTAATCCTGTATGATGTGACTCAAAGAAACCTGCGATCGCTTTTCTTTACCCCTGAAGTGCATCTAGTTACATCCTTGTTCTGCTAAAAGGGATCAATTATGATAATGTAAAAGCAACTTTTATGAAGCAAGGTTAGTAACATTTCCCTACCTCTATGGAATGACTGACTATTCTCTTGAGCCACCTTCTTTTCCACACCTGGGGGCTTCAGATCTTCATTCTCCACGTGTTTGTGGGTTTCTCCTATTTTCTGAGCCAGTTTGCATTTCTGATCCAGCTGCTTGAGTTTGGCAGCACAGGCAGCCAGGCGTTCCTCTCTGGCACGGCGCTCTTCCTCCTCACGCCGCTTCCTGGCTCGCTCAACGGCTTCTGAGATTTCAGAGTGGACAAACTTCTGCCTCGGGGGCACCTTTTCTTCTTTATCCTCCAAGGACTGCTGTCTGAGAATACCCCCCAGTGGAGGCTTCTGTAAAAGAAGAAATATCCCACTCCATTTGACTCCGGCTTAAAATTGCTAAATGCTTAAAAAGTTTCAAAAATATACAAAACCCTGGCCCCGGCTTTCTGATGCAAACATTGGCACAGTGCACAGAACCCGAAGATGGTACTAAACTGACAACAAAACAAGTCATGGGGCAACCCAAGCATTCTGGTCCAGCCTAAATTCCTGTCTACTGTGGCTGTTACACAGGAAAATCTCTGCAGCTGGGAGTAAAGGGAGCCCTGTAATCATTCAGCAGTGTCCCCACCCTTCAAACGATTAGAAGCAGAGTTCATAGGCTCAAAAGAAGATCCTCTCCCAGTCTTGCTGGCAGGTCTAACGTGTTATTAGTTGCTCTCTAAACTACTCGTGCTTTACTCAGATTTCGTTTTGTCACAATGGGTACTCTGATCTGTTTATAGAATTCCAACATGGATTCTGAAGCACAGTAATCTGTTATATCAAGCATCCTGTCAGCACAATACAATCTGTGCAAGTTCAACATACCTGATATTCTGATGCAGGGGTCCAGCCATTCAACTTCCTTGAAGGCTGCTGGGGGCCTTGCACCTTATGAACTGACCGAGACAAACCAGCGGAGTCACCCCAGTTCTTTCCTTCCTCCAGGGAGTGTTTAATATCTGCACTGTCAGCGGAGCTCAGAGACAGCTGGCGCTGCCTTCTGGGGTCCCAGCTGTTCCTGTTGTACAAATGCTTTTGATATTACCATTTCCAAATCAGCTCAAAACACATTTTCAACTCATTCATCAAGTCATAAGCAGGCTTATTATACAAGCAACAGACTAGAGAATCCAACAACAAAAATGTTGGCAGGTGCGTTGGACTCTTCAGCCATGGATCTCAAAATACTTTGTAAAGGTGTGTAAGTATTACTACTAGACTTAACAGATGGAGGAAATGAGGCACACACAGATGAAGTAGCTTGCACAAGATTACAAGGATGGTCAGTGGAATTACAAGGAACGGAACACAGGTCTCCTGATGCCCAGTCACGTATCCTATCCATGCCACAAAGATGTCCCAATTACACTTTGAAAAGTGGAATCCAAGAGGTTATATCATGAAGTTGAGGAGGTGGGGGAGGGGAGCTAAGCCTTTGCTTTTGATGATTAGAACACATTCTAAATAGCTCATGATATCCAGCGGTATGAACAGAGCACCAATAGAAGACCAGACAGTCACCTCTTACCATTTCTGTCTTCCATCTTTAAGAGCATCTTCCTCTTCCTCATCTTCGCTAAACTTCAGTTTCTCAGAGTAATCCACTTCATCGTGTATGCCTGTGGGGCGGGAGTGAAGGAAGGATACATCAAAGGAAGGAAAGAGGACCCTCTAACAAACTGAGAAGCATCTGGAGCCGCACCACTCTATAGACATAAATGCGACAATTTAGAAAAACACAATGTTCAGGCACAGCATCAAGAGGATTATTGAAAACAAGCAGTGTTATGTCTTGACCACACATCTCAACAGCAGGACAGTTTTCAGAAGACTGGTTGCATGCATTCCTGATAGAGAGGAAGCAAATTGAGATGAAGTTTCTGTGCATGGGGTCACGCCTAGCTAGACTTCAGCTGCATGCCTTGAGATGACTGGACTCTGACGATTTGGGGCTAACTTTGACTCAGTCTCTTCCCAGATCAGCACCAGCGGCTCTCTTTCAGCTACATGTCATTATCAAGTCTGTGAGTCCTCAGATCCAGTTCCTTGAGCACAGCACGAAGGGAGAACCAGAAGGAGCTACTGTAGCATCACTTACACCACCCGTAGCTGCCACATTGCAGAGAATACCATCCTCTTTTATGGGAAGGGAAGGGGAGCATGGGAATGAGCTATCAAACTAGTCTCTCTTTGGGGATGAAGGGGTTAGCAATTCAACCTCTTCACTCCCCGAGTAGTTACTGTTTGCCTGAAGCGGGAGGAGAATGGTACTTTACCTGCCCAACCATCATCTGCATCATTGTCTAGTTCATCCAGTTCCTTCAAGTTTTCTGCGTTGATAATGGTGGGCCGGGGAGCCCGCTCTCCTTGCTGCCGAACTGGACGAGCTGGACGAGCTGCCCCAGGTCTATTCTCTTTTCTATGTGGTGAGACAAAAAGATACAGCTGCAACACCAGTTAAAAGAGGAGGATGGAAAGCACAGGAAATCCACATGCCCCCAGCTCATAACAGCATAGAAGTTTAAGCTACTTTGTGTGTCACATGCTTAGGCAGTGAGCCTACAAACAATGATTATTACCCTTGAAATCCTCTCCTCCCCTCCCTCCTTGTTTATTATTGAGCCTCCCTAAAGCCTACAGCTCATAGACACCAGCCTTTTGACCTAGGACTGGACAGGATTCTTTTGGAAGTCCTTCTGCTCCTTGACCAATGTGCAGGACTCCCTCACCTTCTAACTTAGCTTCCTGCCTCTCTGTAACATTCACAGACCCTGCTATAGAGGAAGCAAGACATTGAGGCTTTAAATGAAGCCAGGCTTGCAGCTTTATTCACCAGGCTGGCTCAGTCATAAGATTCTTGCATAAAATAAAGATCTTGTCCTATATTATCTGTCCTCTGCAAGTCAGGTAGTCCTGGAGGCCTTACCCATCTTGGTCATTCATCTGGTATTGTCTGAAAGGAACACGGGGCTCAAGTCGAAGCTGAGGAAGAGGAAAAGACCCACGGTCCAGTGATGCAGGGACCTCAGATGGCTGCTGTGGACACATCTGAAACGGAACAATGATAAACATGATAGTTTTTCTTTGCTGAGAAAAAAAATATCCAGACTATATTACAAGGGCATTTTAGTGCTGAGGTTGGGAAGGGAGGGAGAACATGTCAGATTTAGCTGATTAGACAGGCATGGTGTCATTGTGGACACTGTTCTTTATGGCGCGAGGTGAGAAGTACCTACGCTTTTCAATGGATGCACTTAGCTGTCTGAGAGGATTAATGCATTAATGTTGGCTACTGAGGACAAATGTACAAGATGGGAATGGAAAGGAAAAAAAAAGGACGATATCTCAGCTGTCCCCCAGAGCAATACGTAGGAGGGTTTAAAGAGGGGAGTCCGGAAATGTAGTGCCTTTGCTAGTAGAGTCAGACGTAATATTTTGCCCCCTCGCACACTATTATTCCTTAGGATGGGGAGAAAGAGACGCACGCATGCAGCTTTGAGAGCAGATTGACTTACAAAAGCAGGTAGCATGTCATGGTACGTAGGCGGATGGTACGCATTTCCCATGAACTGTGAAGCCCCTTTACGGATAGGTTGAGCCGGGCGGAGAGAGGGCTCCTTAGGATCGCTGGTATTCACTGAGGAGGGGGCTCCATCTCCTGTGTTAGAGGTCTTGCTGCCCGGCTCAGGAGGGGAGGCGGTCAGAGATGTGGCAGAGGTAATGTTCCTCCCACCGCCCTCCCTCCAACTCGTGACATCTGAAAATGAATGATACAGATGTAAAGTGTTGGGGGGCACATATAGAAGGTCATCAAGCAAAGAGTTTCTGGGGCCAGAATTACAGATGGCTACGTTAATAGAATCTGAGATGAGATGGCACAAATCAAAGAACAATGGATAATGTACAGAGGCATTTCATAAAGAGCCTGAGTTCTATACCCAGAACTGTTACTAATGGCTGCAGCAGTGACGGTGCAAGCTTTCACATGCACACTGTTATTAAGAAACAGGAATGCTAGATAGCGACTGATTGAAGAGTCGTGTAATTGCACAAAATATTATTGGTTACATGACTATTTGATAGTCCCTGGGGGCGGGACTGGCAGCCAGCACACTCCTGGCCCTACTCCCAGGGAGCCCCCGGCTAATGTACACTGCTGCCTTTTTATCAGAGGCAGCAGTGCGGGGTGGCAGGCGAGAGCCAGTCCATGAGGGGAGCAGGTTTAAAAACCAGCTCCCTGCACAGACTGGTTCCCATCTGCTGCCCCACGCTGCTGCCTCTGATACAGGGAGGAGCCCCTGTCTGCAGGGAGCCAGCATCCCATGGAGCAGCCTCTGTCCACAGTGAGCTTGGGCCCAACCACGGCAGCCTCCCCTCCACCCCCCCACTCATTACCTCTGATAGAGATAGCAGTGCGTGGGGAGTTTGCACGAGTCGATATACACAGGGAGCTGGCTTGAAAGCTGACTTCTCATGTGTACCAGCTCCCACCTACCCACCCCCCCCCATCCTCCTCACTGCTGCCTCTATATCAGAGGCAGCAGCACTTTGGGAGTGGAGGAGAAGGGGCTCTGTGGATCCGGTGCTCATGGGGAGCCAGCTCCTTCCTCCCCCCTCCCCCCCTTGCTGCCTCTGATACAGAGGCAACGGGAGAAGGGGTGCATGTAGTCGGTAAGAAGGGGCTCTGTGGATCCGGTGCTCATGGGGAGCCAGCTCCTTCCTCCCCCCTCCCCCCCTTGCTGCCTCTGATACAGAGGCAACGGGAGAAGGGGTGCATGTAGTCGGTAAGATTAACCAATAAGCCTAGGCTTACTGGTTAATCGTGTACTTGACTACACCTTGACAGCCCTACTAAGAAATCGCTGCAGCAGTGGAGCACACACTGCTGCTGTCAATGAGCCCAAATACTGATCTACACCATCTGTGCTATCTCAATAGTAGGTATTTCTTACCAAAAGTACTGCCTGAACACAGTTGTTATAATTCATGAGATGGACAAATGTTCATTACAGACACAAACAAACATTTCATTTGCGTCCCACTGCCCAACATAAGCTTCTTCCCTCACACACAGAGCAATTTTAAAGTAATTATGAAGCAGACGATAGTAACTATTTAGCTGCCTGTCCTGCAGAGCTCTGGTACCCAATTTCAGTCCCTAGATTCTGTAGTTATTTTCTGAGCCAAGCACAGCAGGGAGGCTTGTAGGAGTGACAGACAACATGGGAGGGGAAACATTTGGAACTACCGCAGACTGGCCTGATAGTCGTATCTCCTTAAAAAGTGATCTAATGGGCTGTGGCTAGCTGTCAGGAAAGCAACATGCTGCCATTTACTTACTCTGGGGGCGGAGGCTTGGTCCTGGCCCATACGACAGATCTAAGGCGCCCTTTTCTTTGCCAGCCTTGTCCTGCTCGCCAGCTGCTTTCAGCGTCGGAAATTCCTCGGGAGAGAAGGATAACAGTCGGTTTGAGGCCCTTGAACCTATTGAAGAAACAAGAACACAACTCAGATAGGACAAGGTTTCTCCATCCTGCATCAGCTCTGCCGTGTTTGTGATCACCTTGGAAACACAGGAAACACAGCACAAATGTTTTTCCTCCGAAAAAATCTCTGCTTCTAGCACATTCAAACACAAATTACTGCCTGTGTTAGCATTTGCTAACAAGTTAGCCACAGCCAGGTATGTCACTAACATGACAGCTCATGTCCATACCAAATTACCTAGCAACTATTAATGAAAGGGTTTCATTTAAATTCCTGTGTTCAACAAACCTAATTAAAGTTCTGCAGTTCCTAATTATTTTTGTACCATACATATATTCACATTGAACTGTAAGGAAAATTCTGCAAATTCGCTTCAGAAATGATATGAAGCACTCAACATTTATATTCAGATTCCTCCAACTTTTGTTATTTGTCTATGGAGACAATTACGTTGTTATGCTCCCTGCAAATGCTCTCAGTGAGAGGTTATAAATAAGCATTAAGTGTTACATTGTGATATATATATTGCCCTCCTTCACAACATTAAGATACTGATCGCTGACCCAATCTGGCCACAGTCAGATGTTCTTACTGGAGAGTTGCCCTGCTGAGTTTCTAACAATCACAAAATGCAACTCTAAGATGTGTTTTCTTGCTTATAAAGGTGCAATGGTGAGTGGAAAACAGTTAATTGCAGTTCATCAGAAACCCACTGGCAAGATGACACTGAGTAAAAGAAAACTGCCAGCAGTACAACTGTACACAATATTAAAAATCAATTTATCAGTAAGTAATTTTATAAATAATGCACAGAAATCAGTGAGCCTGTTGAGCAGAGTGAGCTATGTTTTGATAAACTGTTTCCTTGCAGTAAAAGGGCACTGGTCCAAATAAAAAGCCCATTTTAAAACTGTATGCTACACACCCCATCTGCAGTTGTTAAACACACCAGAAGATCTTTGCCATTTCTGCTCTGGAAAGTAAAGTAGAATTGGTCTATATAGTCAGTTTCATGTTCCTGGAACTAGTTCAGTGCTATCCACCAAGAGAGAGGATAGTCAATTATAAAAAATAAAACCCACCCTAGCATTTTCTTAAAAATTATTTTAAATAAAAATATTTCTATCACATTTTATAAAAGCACAAAAAAAACCCTATTAAAAACATTTACAGACTTCCAAAATTGAGAGCATAACAGTGTCCCTTTAAATTCCGGACAGACTGTTTAGAAATGTTACTCTGTAATATGTTCATAGATAAGCACAGGATCTTACATGGTCAAAATCACGGTTCTTTATCCCATAGCTGAGAACAGGTTCCCAGTTTAAAAGTTAGTACTATATGTAGCATTTTCAAACAAACATTTGGCAAAGTTTATCTTAAAATATATGAGATGTGCCATATCTCAAACATTTATGCTATCAGAGTTGTATTGCATTATTGCAATGATCTGTATGAGTATGCTAATAGCAGGAACAGTTAAGGTTGACTAGCACCTTTCAGGAAAGATTTACATTATGATTCGGGGGGAGGGGGGAATGGGGTAGAGAGAGAAGAGGCAAGCTTTCCCCAAACAGATACTGTTGCACAACATAAGAATTATTTGTGTGCTAATATCCACAGCAAGGAGCCTAATTCCCCAACATGAACTCCACTGGGAAAAGTCCAATGAAGTGTAAACATCCTTCCCTGAAGGTCCCTTTGGACAGGAAATATATCCAATCTCAACATTCATACCCCAATCCATACCACACATATCCTATTACATTACAGCAGATTTAAAAGTCTCCCTTTTCCCCAAAGCTTCAACTAAAATGGTATCTTTAAGGAAGACACGGTAACTAAAATAAGCGAACAGAAAGAGCAAAGATCTCAATCCTTGTTGTTAACACTAGAAGCTGTTGCTTCACTAGACTGTAAATGCAATTGCTCAAAGCAGTTGCAGAACAGGTGCAGAGGACAAGATGACCTAATAAGTCTTTGTAGCCTGATTTCTGTGATTCTATGATTCAATTATCCTCTAATTAAGCTCTTCTTAGCCCTGCACGTAGCTCTTTCCTCAGGTTTATGTACTGTACCTTAACAATGGTCTGATCTACATTGAGTTCTCAAAGCACATTAGCACTTTCTTACAGGGAAATATTTGACCACCGCTCTGCACAAGATGCTAATTTGGCTCACAGATTTAAAACCTACCTTAGATGGAGTCCATATGGCAACAATCTCACAGAAAGTGGCAATTAAAAAAATACAGTGGTTAAATACATATTTGTGCCGGTAGTCACTTCAAAGCAGAAGCTTACATTTGCCTGAAGACTGGGCTTTGAGAAAGCTTTCATAAGATTGTTAAATCTATTTTTGCTTCTAAAACTATTTAATTCTTTTGACACTCTGCAATTTCATTTGAAGAGCCAGAGGCTACTGGTCTGCTAAAAGCTCAGTGCCTCAAGCTACTGCCATTCTTTCTGAGCCTTAAAATACCAATATTAATGGTAACTAGAACATACATCCAATATAAAAAGAGTCATATTACCAGTCAGACTGAGATCTCAATTTAAGGAATTAATTTCTCTACTCAAAATGTTACCTTGGTTTCAAACTCCTCAGTCAAACAGATGCAGTTAGCAGCACAGACTGTAATTACCTCATTGTAGTTATACTACTGCAAGTTTATCTATGTCTAGACAAGACTTTAAACTAGGAGTGCATCATGGAAAGACCTCATTCTGTGTGTTTATAAAGCTGTGTGCATGCACACTGCTCCATTATTCATAATCATACTCACCACCTTCTCGTCCTGCTGGCTTTCCATTCAGCTGTGCCCATGACTTTGGTCCACCTGGCACTGAATTTGTACTCTGTAAAAAGAAAAAGACCAGGAGATCCTCATGAGAGTTCTTCACCTTATAGGTGAAAGTAAAGCAGGAGAATGCTATTGTAGTCAGATCTTTGTATCCTCTAGATGTTACCAGATCCTGCTAATGCCTCAGCCCTCTAGCTGAGGCCATGACCATCTCCTCTCTGTAACTCCCTCAATCCAAAATGCTGCAGTTAAAATCCTCTTCCTCACCACAACTTTGAAATCTTCTGCTTTGGATACTTTCACTGGCTTCCCTATCTATTTCTTCTGCCTGTTCCTCTTGCTCGCTTCAATCTAACAAAGCCTCCCTTCTCTCCCACTTTTTCCATACATTTTTCCACTCATCTTTCAGGCTTTTTCCACACTACCTCGGATTCTTGGAGAATTTCACTCTCTCATACACCTAACAACCTCCCTGATGCCCTTTCTAAAAATCTCACAGGTTTGGAATTTTTAAGTTACAGTAAAAGCACATACATTCTGCAGGAATAGATGGGTTGGATCTGAAAGCTCACTAGAAGGGGAAACATATCACTTGTCAGGGGATTTTTCAGGCCTGAGCTTAGCTGTTTGTCATGTGCAAGCAGATCTCTTCTTATCACATGAAACTTTTGGCGAAAAGCAGCAACTGGATCTGCTGTCACTGAAATACCTTTCAAAATAAAGTGGATTAACAAATGCAGATCAAGCTCTCCCTGTTTCAGCCATTTTCCCTAGGCGTCATAGAATTATAGGTTAGGGTTGGAAGAGACCTCAGGAGGTCATCTAGTCCAACCCCTGCTCAAAGCAGAACCAACCCTAACTAAATTATCCCAGCTAGGACTTTGTCAGACCTCTAAAGATGGAGATTCCACTACCTCCCAATACTTCACAACCCTCCTAGTGAAATAGTTGTTCCTAATATACAACCCAGACCTCCCCCACTGCAACTTGAGACCATTGGCCCTTGTTCGGTCATCTGCCACTACTGAGAACAGCCCGGCTCCATCACCTTTGGAACGCCCCTTCAGTTAGTTAAAGGCTGCTATCAAATCCCCCCTCACTCTTCTCTTCTGCAGACCAGTTCCCTCAGATTCTTGTCTTAAGTCATGTGTCCCAGCTCCCAATCACTTCTGCTGCCCTCTGCTAGACTTCATCCAATTTATCTACATCCTTTCTGTAGTGGGGGACCCAAAACTGGCCTCACCAATGCCAAACAGAAGGAAATAATCACTTCCCTCAATCTGCTGGAATTAGCCTTCTTGGCAACAAGGGCACACTGTTGACTCATTTAATCCCCTGTAATTCCCCAAAACTACCATTTAGCCAGTCGGTTCCCAGCTTGTAGCAGTGCATGGGTTCTTCCTGCACTTATCCTTGTTGAACCTCATTAGATTTCTCACCCTCTCTCTACTCTCCAGCGTATCTCCCCCATCCATGAACTTGCTGAGGTTGCAATCCATTCCACCATATATGGTTAATGAAGATGCTGAACAAAACTGGTCTCAGGATTGATCTGTTGGGCACTCTGCTTGATATTGGCTGCCAATTAGATATTCGGTTCCCAGCTTGTAGCAGTGCATGGGTTCTTCCTGCACTTATCCTTGTTGAACCTCATTAGATTTCTCACCCTCTCTCTACTCTCCAGCGTATCTCCCCCATCCATGAACTTGCTGAGGTTGCAATCCATTCCACCATATATGGTTAATGAAGATGCTGAACAAAACTGGTCTCAGGATTGATCTGTTGGGCACTCTGCTTGATATTGGCTGCCAATTAGATATTGAGCCATTGAGCACTACCCATTGAGCCCAACAATCTAGCCAGCTTACTATCCTCTTTATAATCCAAACCATACTTTTACTTGCTGGCAAGAATACTGCAGGAGATTGAATAGGCTTGCTAAAGTCAAGTCATGGCTACTGCTTTCCCCATATCTACACAGCCAGTTCTCATCATAGAAGGCAATTAGGTTGGTCAGGCATGACTTGCTCTTGGTGAATCCATGTCAACTGTTCCTGATCACCCTTCTCTCCTCCAATTGTTTTAAAATGGATTTCTTGAGGACCTGCTCCATGATTTTTCCAGAGACTGAGGTGAAGATGACCTGTAGTTCCCTCTATTCTTCTTCCCTTTTTTTAAAAGATGACCACTATATTTGCCTTTTTCCAATCACCCAGGACCACCCCTGATCACCACAAGTTTTCAAAGATAACGGCCAATGGCTCTGCAAACACATCAACCTACCCTCTTAGCATCCTCGGATGTGTTAGATCTGGCCCTTAGTGTATGTCCAACTTTTCTAAAAAGTCCTTAATCTGTTCTTTCACAATGGGGACTGCTCACTTCTACCTCATACTGTGCTGCCTCAGTGCAGCAATCTGGGAGCTGACCTTGTCTATGAAGACCAAGGCAAAAAAACACCAAAACATTGAGTACTTCAGCTTTTTTCCACATAATCTGTCATTAGGATGCCTTCCCCACTGAATAAGGGTCCCATTTTTTCCTGACCTTCTTGGTGCTAACATACCTGCAGAAACCCTTCTTGTTATCCTTCACGTCCCTGGCTAGCTGCAACTCCAATGGCACTTTGGCCTTCTTGATTGCACTCCTGCATGCTCGAGCAACATATTTATACTCTTCCCTAGCCATCTGTCCAAGTTTCCACTTCTTATAAGCTTCCTTCCTGTGTTTAAGCTCACCGAAGACTTCTCTATTAAGCCAAGTTGGTTACCTGCCATATTTGCTATTTTTTCTGTACTCTGGGATGGTTTGTTGCTGCGCCCTCAATAAGGCTTCTTTAAAACAGACTCTTCCTACAGATTTGTAAGGTAAACAGAAATATACTTACATTGATAATGTAACAGCAGCAGAACATTCCAGTGGCACAGTAACTTGAAGTCAAGCTAGACTATTGTTAACAGAACTGATAATAAGGGAGCTGCTATAACAAACTATGGTTGGTCAGTCTTTAGAATCTATGGGCATGGGCCAAATTGAGTAAGTCATCAGGTATCACTTGCACCTACCTCTTGACTGATTGACTGTGTCGGCTTCTGTAAATTGGAGACAGATTTCTGCAAACCCTGCTGCGGCAGCGACTCCTGCGGCTGTGCAGCCGTCGCACTGGAACTAGGAAAAGACAACAGACCAACCGAGATCAGATGGGATAAAGGTGATAATCAACTCTATCAATACAGAGAGCCCTCATACAAAGCTTGGGCACGCATCGTGCTTTCTGCTGAAAGATATGACAAAAGACATTGGATCTCCAGACCCTGGAAATCTATCGCTTTCCGCTTTACATTCATGGGCCATGCTTACAGATCAGATGCGTATACAGGAAGTCCCCAACTTACGAACAGGTTGTGTTCCAAAGTTTGTTTTTAAATCAGTTGTTTGGAACTTGGAACAGGTTTTCCCATAGAAACAATGTTATAAATGGTAGTTACGGTCTCAGGCAGCTCACAAAAGACATTTAACTCATAATGTAGCTGAAATGCAAATTTATAATGAAAAATAGTAGAAATACTTTGTTATTTAACTTTGACTGCTGGTGCTTGAGGCAAGGCAGGTTTAATTAGAGGAACATGAGGAGCAAGGAGTAGATTCTCAAGGGGGCTTGTGGGCATCCCCCCACACCCGTGGGCTGCATCCAGTTCCCACTTGCCAGGAGGAGGCAAGTGACACAAGCACGGAGCAGAGGACTCTGGAGGAGCACGGACAGCTGTGTAGTCCGCAGCTGGAGAGAAGCTGCGGTTTCCCCTTCAAAGCACTGCTTCTTTCCAGTGGCTGGCTGTGCTCCCTCCCCCTGTTCCTCTGGAGTCCTCCCGCCAGCACATGCGCTGCTCATTACCTCCTGTGCCTCTTGCTTGCTCCCTGAACTGCAGGTGAGCTTCTGTTTCTATGTGCCGACATTTATAAGTCAGATGTTTGTAACTCGGGGAGGGCCTGTACCAGTTCTGTATCTGCAAAGAGCTGCTCTGGATCTTGTAGTCCAACAGTATTCTTAGACCTACATAGTAATCAATAACACCCAGTAGAGGTCACTAATAAAGCCCAAAGAGAACGTTCTGCATGATGGAGTATAATTTCTGTTTCATGATTGTGAGGATTTATCGTAAGAATTGCTCCGCTTACCTCTTTTGGTCTGGCTGATCCTGCTTGTTTGCCCATCCTGTACCGTCCTTGGGTACTATAATGATGTTGGGGTCGTTTCCTTTGTTCTCAGACTTCAAGCTTGGCAAGTTTGCAGGAGGTGGCATGCGCCGGGCAGCAGCAACTTTCCCGAGACTCTGTAAGCCATGTCTAGGAATAACTGGTGAGAGGGCCAGCAAGTCATTAAGGGCTAGATTCTGCCACCCTCATTTATCTCTAATAGCACCTTACCCCTCAAAGAGTTCCACTGGTTTCAATGGGACTAACTTAAGAGAGTAAGTGTGGTAGAATCTGACCCTAACCTGCAGAATCACACAGCAACAGCAATGTTAATTTGCATCTTTATATTAGTACTTCATGTTTATACAGAATCTACCCTCCAAAAGAGCCACTGCAATGCTGTCACCTCTGTGGTGAACTAACAATCACCTGGTAGGTAGCCCAAACACAACAGTTAGAAGACAGGACCATTTTGGCCAAGGACAGAAGCAAAACCCCTCCTCGTATGGAAAGGGTCCTGAGATTGTCAGTAACCATGCATATCAGACAAAGCCTTGGGTCTTATTTAAAGTCCAAGTTCAAAGCGTCACCTAGAAAACCACATAAATCATCAAGTTTATCTTCTCCAGCAGAAAGAAGGGCTCAGTTAACTTTGCTGGGACTGAACCGGTCTTTCTGTAGGATCTCACAGTGCTTTCTAAACAGCACATGATGTCTCATCATCAAATACAATTATCTCAATTTTATGGTAGGTAAAGGCACAGAGGAGTTGGAGTGGCTTGTCCAAGGCCGCACACCTGTAGCACTAGAAATAGAATCCAGAAGTCCTGGATCCAAGTCCCCTCTATGCTAACCACTGTGAGCTATGTTGGAGCTCAGAATAAACCCAGCCTATTAGTTTCAGTTTTATGACCTCAGTATCCCCCTCTTGGTATGTTTTCACTGCAGAGTTCACCTAGGCTCCTAACCCAGCTTAAATACACAAACAAAAATGTCTGGCCAAAGTTTAATTTGCTTTAATCGCTAATTTTTGAAGTGGCCCCAGGGCCACCCTGGAAGGGGCAGGACCTCAGATGGAAGGGGGCAGGTCCAGGACACTTCCATGCTCCTATGCCCACAGACCCTGGTTGGCCTGGGAGTGGGAAGTCTTTGCCCGCCCTCCCCCACCTAGAGAAAACTGCCAGCTGTTCTGAATAGCTGGTGGTTCCCTCTAGGCACCCTGCCCCTGGCGACAGGAGGAGACTTTGCGTGCTTCCCCCACCCTCCTCGTCAATTAAAAGCCTCTCTCAGATTTTAGTCAATGCCCCAGGACAGCTAGCTTGGGTGTACAGCCCGGGTTGGTAAAGGGGTCCAGCACGCAGACATCCTGCCGCTCCCCCACTCTCAGGGCAGGGGAGCACAGGAAGTCTCTTGTTCTCTGCCCCTGCCCTTCAATGGGCGTGCAGTGCTAGAGTGGACCGGTCCACTCTGAATGCCACGTGCCCCTTGCAGGGCAGGGGCAGGAAGCAAGAGACTTTGCTCGCTCTGCCCGCCCCCAGGCCAATCAGGGAGCAACAGGGCATCTGCGGGCTTGGAAGGCCGGCTCCACCCTGCGGAGGCCCCTTTGCCCACCCCTGCTTTACACCCAAGCTAGCTGTCCTGGGGCATAGTCTAAAATCTGAGGGAGGCTTTTAATCAAAGTGATAATCTGTTCACTTAGCAGTGAGGACACAGGCAAAACTGCTTGAGTGTCAATTGCCATGTGCCCAAAGACAGACAAGTTCTCCCCTAATTCACTGGAAAAGAACCAAAAACTATAGGACTAGAAGAGACCTCAAAACATCATTTAATCCGCATCCCCTGTACTCAGGCAGGATTAATTTACTCAGACCATTCTTGACAGGTGTTTGGTTAACCAGTTTTAACCATTGGTAACCTATTCCAGAACTTAGCTATCCTTGGCTACATCTACACTGGCGTGATCTTGCACAAAAACTCTTTAGCACAAGAATTCTTACGTTAAAGTATTTGCACAAGAGAGCATCTACACTGGTATGTGCCTTTGCGCAAGAGATGTGCTTTTGCAAAAGAGCATCCTTGCCAGTGTAGACACTCTCTTGCACAAGAAAGCTCTGACGGCCATTTTAACCACAGGGTTTTCTTGAGCAAGAAATTCATGTTGCCTGTCTACACTGGCCTCTTCTGGAAGAGCTCTTGCACAAGAGGGCTTATTCCTGAGCAGGAGCATCATAGTTCTTGCACAAGAAGCCCTGATTTTATACAGTAGAACGTCAGTGTTCTTGCACAAGAACTCGCGGCCTGTGTAGACAGGCAGCAAGTTTTTGCATAAAAGCGGATGCTTTTGCACAAGATCGCGCCAATGTAGACACAGCCCTTGAGTTAGAAAGTTTTCCTAATATCTGATTTAATCTTCCCTTGCTGCAAATTAAGCCAATTATTTCTTGGCCTACCTTCAGGGGACATGAAGAGAAATTAATCACCATCCTCTTTATAACAGCCCTTAACATATGTGAAGATTATCATCAAAGGGGAGGGATAGCTCAGTGGTTTGAGCAGCGGCCTGCTAACCCCAGGGTTGTGAGCTCAATCCTTGTAGAGGCCATTTGGGGCAAAAATTTGTCAGGGGTGGTACTTGGTCCTGCTGTGAAGGCAGGGGACTGGACTCAATGACCTTTCAAGGACCCTTCCAGTTCTAGGAGATAGGCAATCTCCATTAATTTATGTCCCCCTTCAGGCTTCTTTATTCAAGACTAAACATACACAGATTTTTTTTAACCTTTCCTCCTGGGTCAGGTATTCTATACCTTTTACTATTTTTGTTGCTCTCTTCTGGACTCCCCATCTTCGTTCACATCTTTTTTAAAGGGTGGTGCACAAAACCAGATAAAATATTCCAACTGAGGCCTCATCAGCACTGAGCTGAGTGGGAAATAATTGCTTCCTGTATCTTACAGGTAACAATCAGAATGCAGCAGTTTACTTCAGCAAAGAACCAGGGGGTATGTCCTCAGAACTCCTAGCGACATACAGAGGGGTATACAGTACCAGTGAGTACATAGTAAGTGTGGCTGCTCACATCCAAATGCCAATAACAAAGTTAACACAGTAGTAAACACATCCCTTACAAGGGAAGCCTTCACTAGCTTGTCTGTGGCATTGCTTACCTGTAGTTCTGATAGCTTCTATTGACTTTCCTTTATACTTATCAAACAGGCTGAGAGTTGAGTACTTGCTTTTCCCATCCTTTCCCTTGGTTATTTGCCCCAAACGATCGGACATTGCGATTAAATGTCATCTAGTAAGGAAATTTCTCTGCGCCGCTCCTGATCTGCCTTTTAATGAGAGAGAGTCGGGGAAATAGCATCAAACCAATTATTTATACTTTGATAAAGTACAAAATGTGCAAGATTCCTAGCTGATAGTAGCTAGGACTTGTAGTCAGGCAGGGTCTCCCAATAGGTTCCTGCTCAATCAGTGATGATAACCAGAAGGCTGCTTACGTGTGTGCTAAATGATGTGCACTGTGTTGACTTGTGCAATTAGTTAACACAGCAGACTTCAAGAGAGACCCCAAAGGCCACAAATCAGATAAAGAGTGAAGGTGCCAGGCCAGGTTTAATGTTAAGCGAAGTACAGTAATAGCTGTCAGTAGACTCTACCGAACCACTACACACATGTACCCCGTAACAATGGAATGACACAATCAGTGGGAGATCCCACTATCCCTAGGTCATTCAAAGACTGTTCCCCCAAGACAACACTTTATACACAGGTACAAACAAGTTACACATCAACTCCTGACGTGTCGGGTTGCCACCCATCACCCTGTAACTCGTGGTTTGATTAGATAATCTCTATCCATTATGCTGTCATTTTAGACCCATTCCTGAACCTGAGTCTGTATTGGTGGGGAGGGTGGGTACAATCTTTTTTAATGAGCTGGTGCTGCCATGTGCTTTCAAGTTATGACCAGTACCAATTACTGGTTTACAGTTGATACCTAGTACCAATTATGGTTCTACACCTGGGCCTATTACCAATTAGTGTTTTACACACGTAGCCTTGTTCATACCAAATTCTGTGAGCAGGGGCCTGCCTCTTGCTCACAGCTTAGCTTTGCTTTATATTAGCCAAGTGTTGTCCATTGTTAGCTAGGCCTCAGGCCTCAAACCAGGCCTGTGCTACATGGACTTTTGTTTCAGGCCCCCATCTTACCAGAGGACTCAGTGGGGACACAGGATAAACTATGCCACTTTAACATCTCATGTTAGTGCAAGCTTTTGGGATTCAGGAGAATCTATTACAAAAGGTTTAAGGACATCAGTTGAACATCACTGAAAGAGCATAAGGAATAAGCAACATAACTGGAAGTTCAAAATATTTGATAATCTTTATGGAAGATTTTAAAAATTCCATAAGCAACTCTGTTAGCACATTCAAGTTCATTCATTTTTTTAAATAAAAAGGTGATTTTTTTCATCAAATAAACACACAAGTAATTATTGCGATGAATATATTTGTAACTCCAGGGACACACTTTTCCTACAACGCACAAGTGAACATCTCTTGACAATACACCTTCATTTAAACAGTAACACTCCACAAGAGATTATCTACTGCTGGTAAGAGACACCAGGAGAAACCCTCCCTTTCAAACAAAAAAGTCGACTACTTCAGAACTAATAAAAAAAATCAACTAGAAAGTTAGACAAGGTGGATGGAGGTGCAGTATCTTTTATTAGACCAACTTCTGTTGGTGAAAGAGAGGAGCCTTCAATAGAAGTTGGTCCAATAAAAGATATTACCTCACCCACCTTTGTCTCTAATCTCTTGGGACCAACATGGTTATAACAATGAGAAAGTTAAAATTTTCATCCAATTACTTCCATCCGTGTTATTGCTTGCCAGGTTTGTTATATTTTGTGTTTTGGTTCCAAATTGTAGTTAATTAGTTTTAGGGGCAACTATTGCTTTGGAAGAATCAATTACCACAGACTGACAGACACCCTTTCAAATTCTCCTGTCTGCATCTGCTGGCTAGGAAGGAGGACACTCAGGCTTCAAGAAGTGGTATAAATGTGGCTTGAGAAAAATGAGGTTTGACTCGTGAAATTGCATACAAAATGACAGCTTATCAATGATTGTGTCAGGTCTAAAAGCACACGATAAAAATTGCATTCTCTCTGTTGTTGGCACTTCAGATTATTAGAACAAAATATTAAAATTCTATATATGCTTCACATAATTGATGCCATTTGTTTAGCTTGCACTGCAAACAAAGCCTGGACAATGTAACCCAATATATTTCTGTCAAATCAGCCATCTCTCATCATTTTCATTTTTTAGTCTCATGCACCAGAAGAAAGTTGCAACAGGGCGAGGAAAAGGAACAGAGAGGATTGAGGTTCAGGGCTTCCCACTGGCCAGTGGATTTTGGGTACTCCGTTAGGCTCTTGGGTGGAGACAAAAATGAGGTGTACAGTGTTCAGGACAGGGTTGCCAGTGAGTTGGATAGGGATGGGGGGTTCCAGGAGGGGGTGAGGAGGGCAGGGTCTGGAAGGGAGTTTGGAAGCAGAAGAGGGTGTGGGGTGGGGGTACAAGAGGGACTTTGGGGGCAGGAGGGGTTTGAGGGAGTACTGCAGAAAAGTTGGGAGGGTGAGAATGCAGCCAAATAGTTGCACTTCAAAACCCTTATGGCTGGTTGATTATTGTGCAAATGGGCTGAAATTCTCATTCACACACAATGATAAGGTGCAAAGAGTATCCTGCTGTGATGGAGTGGGAAGGGAGTACAGCCCCTCCCCCCACATCCTCCTTCACACACACACACACACCATTTGCCCACATCCCTGTTCCCCTCAGTGCACTCACCAGCAGGGCAGCAGCACTGGGATTTGCAACTCCTGGGAGCAGTGCTGAGGCCATGAGGGGCAGAGGGAGGAAGGGGGACAGAGTCACTTCCCTGCCCGGCCTAGCCCTTTGTCCAGGGCTCGCCCCTCACCTGCAGGCTGCAGCTCCAGGGCTGGGGCAGGGAGAGTCTGGGCTGCCCAGGGCTGTCTCCAGCCCCTGGACAGGGGCA